CCCTAATTTATGCAATTTTTACGATTGAAATAAGATTAATATGTAAGACAAGATTTTTAACAACCTAGAATGCAAAACAACTATTGAAAACGCAAATTTCTAGTATTCAATATAAATTAAGCATACTAGGATCACAATTTTCCATGCAACGACACCTTAAACCCTAATTTTACAATGTGATAACATGATTGAGTTGTTGATAAATCAATGGTCCTAAATCTATCCAATATTCTCTCTGAAGATGTATTGAACCTATTTTTACATACTACCGGCCTATATCTCTATGACAAGTGCATATATAAAAATACATGCGATTTTGTAAGCACTTATAGATTCACTTAGGGTATAGTGGTATATTTCTATCCTCTATCGGACCTTACGATGATTTATACAGTGTCGAACATATTCTACTTCTCTCGAATGCAAGAACAAGTCACCCAAACTCACACAATTACGGGCCCTTAATTACGGAAAATAATAATTGCATATAAATCATTTAAAAAATCAAAATGTGTTTTGATGTCAAATTGTAAAACTAGAAATTTAAAGATCTCATCATATGGTACATCGATCTCCTAGTACATGTAAATCTAGCCTAACATGGAAATAATATCGAAATACATCATATATTGAAGAGGAAGCATTATCTGGTTATGAATTCTTGATAAATCTTCTTGATCTTAAAGCAATCCTTCGTTAATTCCGCTCAAAATCCTCTCCAAGATGTGGTTTCTTGCCTCCCAATGCATTCTCCTCATTTTTGGATGTCCCTAGGGCTTTTAAATGACTCCCAAATTTGTTTCCATAAGAGTTTTAATCAGAAAAGGAAATCAGAAAATTTTCGTCGCAACATTTTCTTCTCGGTAATAAGAAAAACATATGGGGCGATAGCCCGATTTTTATAACTGGGCTGTCGCCCATGCAAAATTTCTTCCATATGTTGCGTTTTAGTCTCAAAAGTCGATTTTTTTTATTCCTTCAAGCCCTTTCTATTGCATTTTCAACTGTTTGACTTTCAATTGCATCCAATTGAACCCGCAATATCTTTAATCTTCTTTTTTTGTCCGAATCAACTATTGAAATGTTGCTACTTAGTCCTCATACTTTGAATTTCTTCATTTTTTGATCCTTATTCATTTCTTTTTTTTTGAATTCCGCCACATTCGTCAATATAGTTCTACAAAATATAATTATATAGAATTAAGCCATAATTCAAACGCTTTGATCAACAATTAGTCATGTTTTGTGGCCAAATAAGTGTGTAAAAAATACACTTCTCATATGCCAAACACAATCATCCAATGACAATCACTATAATCAATTGTACCTCCAAATATTGTTAAGATACAATCCAACTTGTTACGCTTCAAATAGTGGAAGCCACGTGGAGGCACTACGTGCAGACATCTGACAATTAACAAGGTCAAAATAAAGAAAAGAAAAAAAAGCTGTTCTTCACCATCTTTAAGTCCTTTGTCGAAGCACTCTTTCTTCCGTTGGAACCTCTATCCATTAGAAACCCTCTATCCAACCTAAAGCGGTATCTATCTTTAAAGCGAATCTACAAAGTATTTGTATGAATGATTGATATAACGTTTGTATTAATGAATGTCAAAAGTGTTAGCATAGGGTATAGGGCAGCTGACCCCTTGTCAATATAATTAATGGATGGTAGAGAGTAATTTGAGGCTCTGGTTAATAGGATGAGGCCACGTGGTTCTGATCCAACGGCGACCACCTTGGTCTTAACTCTATAAATAGCAGATTTTGTAACTTTTTAAAGAACTAGTGGGGTGAACGCGTGTTGCACGTTAGTTGATTAATTAATGTTAGAAATAAGTGTGTGTAAATTCTCAAGAAATTCATTTATAAATGTGAAAGACGTTTTGAAACTGGTTTTAAAAAATGAACATCTTATTTATAGAGAATAAAGTATTGAGATAATAACTGACGATATCAACAAACAAACAATTGGTTACCACATATTAAGAAGCAATATACTAAAGTCAATAAAAAAAATATAGCTTATCCAAAGTTTGTTGTTGTTTACCTACTTGGCATCTTCTTTGAAGTTCTCATTTTTGGCCGTCCTAATGTATTCATGGCTTTGACACAAAGCATGCAGATAGACTTGTCGACAGCATTCATCGAAATAACTTTCAAGTACGGCATAACTCATTTTCTATCATATAAACAAGAGCATGAGATGTTACTCTCGTACTTGCTAAAAAGGAAATCAAAATCAAGCATTCGCTGAATAGGCAGTTGCTTGTGATTGTAAAATAATGCTTGTGTAGTTCATCACAAAAATTGACCAATTGCCATAATATTTAGTGGCAGACGCACCTGGATAAGAACTTTAAATAAGCAAGCATAAACTCTTACAAAAATTAAAAAGAAAAGAAAGCTCAAATAAAATGAACACAAAATAATATAACAAAAAATAAACACATCAAGGAGGGGATGTAGACTTTAAATATTCCACCACCACTGACTTATTACAACCCCCAAGCACCAAACAAGAATAACGTTTAAATCAAATCAAGAAAACAAAGCTAAACACAAATGAATACGCATAAAAAGAGCAAAAAGAGGCATTAAAGATGTGAAGTTTAAATATTCCATCACCATTTAGTGATTCTAGAACCTCAGCACATAACCACGAGCTTCCTGAAACAATTGGAACCAAATTTAGTACAAAGCTATGTATCCGGGGGAGGGGGGGGGGTAAGAAAAGAAAAAGGAAACCTAGATAGGAAGAGTTAACAAGGAAAAATTACAACAAAAAAGAAATACAAGGTATCTTGCTGAAGTATGGTAAAGTAAACATTCCTTCACCAGACTACACATACAATAGAAATAGAACAAATTTGACATCAACTACAAATTTCAATTTATAATAAAGATTATCCTTTAAAAATACAATTTTAATATACAAATGAAAGTTGTGTGTATTGAACCCTATTACAGAGCCATTCATGCCAAGAAAGAGCTTTGCATAGAGGGGAAACAAGGATCAAACCAAAAACTTGCTCCCTCCCTCTGTCATTCATATAAAATTGTACTTCTATAACAATAAATTGAGCCCCCCAAAAATCAATGTAAATACAAAATTCAATGGTATATTATGTAATATATGGCTGACTTGAAACTTAAACTAAAAGATAATCATAAAATATCTCAATCATCTCACAATTAAAATTTTATAATAACCAATCATATAAGCTGACCAGGCTACAATTATATAAGCCAACAAGGTTTCAAAAATTTTCAATATATTTAATAACAAGTTAGAACAAGCCATTGTTTATCTAAGAGTAGAATTTCAACGAAAATTATAGAACCACACCCTTGAGAATTCCAACGTTACAATTCAAAAGCCTGAAATAAAGATTTAACATTAACCACCATTAAAAATACACAATTCTATTACATTAATCTATTCATCATAATTTTGGAATTGTAATTGAAAACATCTTTGGTGGAATGAATCAAGATCTTTATTTAACAGTAAGCAGTGTTGTTTTTATTCTTAATAAAAAATGACCTTCCAAAAATATCATCCTGCTTTACAAACATAAATTATAGGCAGGAAAATGAGGTTAGAAAAATCCCATCAATATTTCTAATTTTTTTTAAATACAATTCCCTACCAAAAGATCTTGATTCATTCCACCAATGATAAAGCATTTTAATCATGTTATGCACTTTTGTTTTATTCTTTTTAAGTCGAAAAACATATACTCAAATACGTTGATTCATAGTCAAAGCAAAAATTAACAGAAAACAACATAAACAAATTATCTTGAAACTAGATAATTACTCAAGAAAGATTAAATTTTTAGCATTAAAATATAAGAAATATAAATAATACATAAAATGCTAAACAGAAAAAATTCTAGCTATTTATTCACATTTTAAAAAAAAGTCCAATTCTCAACTTCCCGTAAACAAAATTCCATTTTAACAAAATAAAAAATTCAAAAATGAAGCACCTACAAAAAGATTTGATTCCATCCAGCAATTACATATATATAAGTACAAAGAGAGAGAATGTAATGCAAAAACAATAGAGAAAGAAATGAGGTCACAAACAAGACAATAACTCTCCAGATCCATGGGGGCTAGGCAGGGATGTCAAACGGGCCGAGCGGCTCGTTAACTCAACCGCTCGGCTCGTGGGCGGCTCGATCGCATGAGGCCCACGAGCCATTTTGACAAGCTCGTGGGCTCGTCCAAAAAATTGAAATTTTTTGCAAAAAATGTGAAAAAAACACGAGCTCGTGGGCTCGGCTCGGCCCACGAGCTCGCCCCCGAGCAATGAGCTCGACTCAGCTCAGCTCGTTTTTCACAAGCCACGAGCCCAAGCCGAGGCATGGGTTAAAGCAGCTTGGCCCATTGCCATCACTAGGGCTAGGCATAGAGAGAAAGGGCGAAAATTGAATTTGTCATAAATGACTTAAATCTGATCTCTAAACCAAATCTGATTAAAAAGGGTATTTCGATACTATCTATTAAAAAAATAAGGGGCCCAAAACAAAAGGCCCACTACTAAAAAATAAAAAAGTGAGGGGGAGACGGAGCAGCAACTCCGTGTGTGATTTACACAGACTGACAATAAACAAAATCCAATAAACAAAATCCAATAAACATATATTTACACAGAAATTAGAGAGATTTTGATTTAAAACGTTTCCTGAAGATAAGTGACCATGAAACTATTCTTCTTGGGTTGTATAAAATGTGGGTGATGGAGTTCATCATGGGCATTGCAATTTTGGCTAGAATTGGAGGTATGGCCGTGTCATGCAGATGAACTTTTATGTCAGATTTTGAAGGTATGGGATTGTGGAGTGGGTGGTTACGTGAATTAATGAAAAAAAAATTAATTGGAGGACGATAGGAAATTGCGACACCTGTCCGAGCAAAAGTTTCATTCTTTTATATCACGTACTCGCACTGAGGAGGAACAATGCAATTTAACTTGGGATCAATTCAAAATGGAGCTAACAGAGAAGTTTTTCCCACAAGCTCTACGAGACTATAAGGAGGCAGAATTCTTAAGACTGGTACAGGGAGATATGGAAATTTCAGAGTATGAGAGCAAGTTCAAGGAATTGTCCCAATATGCCCCACATCTTGTAAGTACTGAGCTAATGAAGGCAAAACATTACAAGAGGGGCCTGCGCCCAGAGATCAAGCAGATTGTGAGTTCACACGATCTCACCACTTTTCAGGCAGTTGTGAAGAAAGCTCAAATAGTAACCTATTCGGGTGTGAAGTTGATAAATCAGGGACAGCGTAATGACTTTGGAAAAAGGAAGTGGCAGGATAAGAATAAGAATTCTGGACAGTTTAAGAAGCAAACAATTGTGGGCCAGTCAAGTAATCCTCCATCCCAATGCCCTAAATGTAACAAGTTTCACAGAGGGGAATGTCTGTATGGAAAGTATGTTTGCTATAAGTGTGGCCAACCTGACCATGTGGTTTCCTCATGTCCATCGATTAAGAAACTTGAACAAGAGAAAAAAGGAAAAGCAAGGGTGGTTTCTCTGACTCATGATGAGGCTGCCCAAAATCCAGACGTAATCGCAGGTATTTTATCCATCTCTGGAACTCTAGTTTATGTCCTTATTGATTCCAGTACGACACATTCGTTCATATCCAATGCATGTTTAGCTAAGATTAATGCTTCATGTAAGAAGAATGATAATGTACTAGAGGTTAGTATGCTATCAGGAGGAACTATTGATACAGATAGGATAGCAACAGGAGTACAAATAAATTTTGATGGACTGATGTTAGAGGCTAACTTGTACTTTATAGAGATGAAAGAATTTGATATTATTTTAGGCATGAATTGGTTAGGTAAAAATCGAGCCACGATAGTATGTTTTGAGAAAGAGGTGATTTTTTAAAGATCGGGAAAAGAGGAATTCAGATTTTATGGACTGAAGGTTAAGGCACTTCCTCGCGTCATCTCAGCTTTGAAGGCAAAAAGCATGTTGAGGAAACCTAATTGCCAGGGGTATCTTGTCAGTCTTATCGCCACCTCATCTCAAGATAAAACATTGGATAATGTGCCAATAGTACAAGAGTATAGTGACGTGTTTCCCGATGATCTACCGGGTATTCCGCCCGATAGACAAGTAGAATTCACGATAGATTTGATACCTGAAGCTACTCCTGTGTCCAAAGCTCCATATCGAATGGCACCAAAGGAATTACAAGAGTTAAAGATGCAGCTAGAAGAATTTCTAGACAAAGGGTTTATTAGACCGAGTATATCTCCTTGGGGAGCTCCGGTACTCTTTGTAAAGAAGAAAGATGGTACTATGAGGCTGTGCATCGACTACCGTGAATTGAATAAGTTGACGATCAAAAATAAGTATCATCTTCCTAGGATTGAAGACCTATTTGATCAGTTGAAGGGCGCATCCGTATTCTCAAAAATTGATTTAAGGTCGGGCTACCATCAACTGAAGATTAAGTCGGTCGATATACTAAAAACGGCATTTAGGACTCGGTATGGGCATTATGAGTTTACGGTGATGTCCTTTGGCTTGATGAATGCCCCTGCGATATTTATGGACTTGATGAATAGAGTGTTCCATCAGTATTTGGACATGTTCGTCATCGTATTTATTGACGACATACTGATATATTCGAGAGATTCCCTGCAACACGAAAAACATTTGAGGATAGTTTTGGGAACCCTGCGTCAGGAAAAGTTGTATGTCAAATTCAAGAAATGTGAATTTTGGCTTGACCGAGTGGGATTTCTAGGCCATACTATTTCAGCACGAGGAATTGAAGTGGATCAATCCAAAGTTGAGGCCATAACAAATTGGTTGAAACCTACAAATGTTGGAGAAGTGCGGATCTTTCTAGGGTTAGCCGGCTATTATCGGCGATTTATGGAAGGATTCTCCAAGATTACAGGTCCTATGACACAGTTGACTCAGAAGGTACTAAGTTCGTATGGTCAGAGAAATGCGAACAAAGTTTTCAAGAGTTAAAAGAATGGCTCGTATCTGCGTCGATTTTGACTATTCCCGATGGTTCAGAAGGTTTTGTGATTTACAGTGATGCATCTAAGCTTGGTTTAGGATGTGTTTTGATGCAACATGGAAAAGTGATAGCTTATACTTCGAGGCAGTTGAAGCAATACGAACAGAATTATCCCACGCATGACCTTGAACTAGCAGCAGTAGTGCACACCTTGAAGATTTGGCGCCACTACCTATATGGGAGCAAGTGTGAGATCTACACTAATCATAAGAGTCTCAAATAATTCTTCACCCAAAAGGAGTTGAACATGAGACAACGACGGTGGTTAGAGTTAGTGAAAGATTACGACTGCACTATCCTGTTCCATCCGGGTAAGGCTAATGTAGTTGCTGATGCACTGAGTAGAAAGAATATGGGACAGTTGTCAACAATGTGTACAAGACAGGATCATTTAATAAGAGATTTTGAAAACTTGAGAATTGAAGTATTAACATCACCAGTAAGGACATCAGCAAAGTTAGCAAGTTTTACTATGAAATTGACACTCAGGGACAGAATAGTAGCTGCTCAGAAAGATGATCCCTTTTTGGAAAAGATCAGGGCTGATATAGGAACTGAGAAGAGGAAGGGATTTGAAATAGCCGAAGACAAAGCCTTGATGTATAAGGGTCGATTGTGCGTGCTAAAGGATGAAGCATTGAGAATGAAATTATGACTGAGGCTCACTCAACTCCTTACGCTGCCCATCCAGGTGGAACTAAAATGTATTGAGATTTGCACAATACATTTTGGTGGAGAAATATGAAAGGGAAGATAGCTCTGTTCGTGTCCAAATGCATGGTTTGCCAACAGGTAAAGGCCGAAAATCAGAGGTCGTCGAGACTATTGAACCCCATGGACATACCAGAATGGAAGTGGGAAAAGATTGCAATGGGTTTTGTCATTGGATTTCCTAGATCAGTGAAAGGTCATGATGCGATCTGGGTAATTGTAGACCGACTTACAAAATCTGCTCATTTCTTGCCAGTTCGGACAACTTACATCTTAGAACAGCTTGCACAAATTTATGTCAGGGAGATTATGCGACTTCATGGTGTTCCGGCATCTATCGTATCAGATAGAGACCCGAGGTTTACTTCGAAGTTTTGGATAAGTCTTCAGAAAGCTATGGGTACCAAGTTAACATTTAATACTGCATATCATCCTCAGACTGACGAACAATCTGAACGAACTATACAAGTTCTTAAAGATATGTTGAGAGCTTGTGTCCTAGATTTGGGTGGTAAATGGGAAGATCATTTGCCGTTGGTTGAATTTGCATACAACAATAGCTTTCAAGCCACTATTGGCATGGCCCCGTATGAGGCTTTGTATGGTAGACGATGTTGTTTGCCATTATACTGGGATGAAGTTGGTGAAAGGAAAATTTTAGGCCCAGAATTTGTCGAGAAGACTGTGGAGGCTATAAATAAAATTAGATCAAGAATTAAGACTGCCCAAGATCGTCAAAAGAGTTATGCTGACAAAAGGAGGAAAGAATTGACTTTCGTAATTGGAGAGAAAGTATTTCTCAAAGTGGCACCAATGAAGGGAATACTACGATTTGGAAAGAAAGGGAAGCTAAGCCCTAGATTTATCAGTCCATTTGAGATTCTTGAAAAGATTGGGAATGCGGCATATAGATTAGCATTGCCACCCGAGCTTTCAGCAGTGCACAACGTATTTCACATTTCTATGTTGAGAAAGTACATTCCGGATCCTAATCATGTGGTGAATGTTCAATCACTAGATGTCCAGAGTGATATGACTTATGAGGAAGCTCCTGTAGTGATTCTGGAGAAAAAGGACCATGTCCTGAGAAATCGAAAAGTCCCACTAGTTAAAGTCCAGTAGAGTAAACATGGTGAGGATGGGCTACTTGGGAACGAGAAGAGGACATTTTAGCCAAGTACCCCGATCTCCTTAAAACAAGTAAGTTAAATTTCGAGGACGAAATTATTTTAAGTGGGGAGAGTTGTAGCGACCAAAAAAAAATGTGTTTTGTTCGTTTCAAATAAAATTTTCTAATAGGATTCAAATATAATTTGGGTTATATTATTATGTTGCTACGACACTTTCTAATAGTCCAAATTAAATTTTGGACACGAAAGTAAAATTTCGCGTACTTTTTTTTTTTTTTTTTTTTTTTTTAAAAGGTAGTCCCGGTTTTTTTTTTTTTTTTTTCATTTTACAAGGTGCTAAAATCTCTTTAGACGACAAATTTTATTTGTTACTTTGTTTTGAGGACACACATTTTATTGTATATCTATTAAATATTTGAAAGTTAGATTAGAAAAAAAAACCTATTGTATAGTACATTAACCATCCCAACTTACCTTAATATTTAAACCCCATTTTTTTTATTAATAAAAAAAATACAAATAAATAAATAAGAAGAAAACTGTCATTTTGTTTTTAAACTACCATTTGGTTAGTGGGATAATAACCTACACGTCCCTATCCATATCCATTTGGAAGTTAACATTTTAAAATTTCAACCACCCCCATTTCCTCAAGTGTAACCTCCAATTTTAAATACAACTCCTACCACCATTGCAATTAAAAGTTTGTAACTCCCATTTTATAATTCTACACGGCCACTCTCTCTCTCCCTATTACACTTATTGCATCAAATTATTTTGCCTCTTCTTCCATAGACAAAAAGAACTTTGAATCTGAAAATCTCTAAAGAAAAGGGCAAGACGTACGCTGCATTTTATTCTTTGGACACGAAAGGATATTTCAAATTCCAAGCATTAAGGTAGGGGTGTTTCGACACTTATGTAAGTGATGTAAGATTTATATATTTTCGTTTGCATTAAATGTGTTATTGTGTTGCTCATGATGGAATCACCGTTTGGTGGTTTAAACAAGAGATGAAGAGATGGTTATGACAAATGAAATGGGGTTATCAAAACCTAATAAGCGGATTGATTGATCACCAATTCGCTTGAAATTGACGGTGACACAATTGACCAAAGTTTGCATTTTTGAAAATATATATTTTTATCGTTTACTTAAGTGTTTCCTACTGAGTATTATTTATAGTACTCACCCCTTCTAAAAATTTTATAGGTTAAGATCGAGGCATGGTAGTGGTTGGCGTGGTGGCAAGTGTTCGGCGATCTGAAATGCTTTCACTTCATAGTAAAGATTTCCATTTTGTAAATATTTTATGGATCTTAGATGAACTTTTAGAAATGCTTTTAATGTTTATTTTGTTCCATTTTTAGACAGTGCATGTTAACAAGAATTTAAGTGTTGGATTGATTTGTATGAAGTTTTATTTTATGCTGGGTGGAAATTTCAGTTTCTGTCCATCTAGTTGAAAGTAGCATAACTTGGGCTACAGTATATGTTTTAAAGTGAAATTAGATGATTTTGAAAGATCCATGAATCTTCTAATCGTACCCTTTGGAATTTCCTTAAAATATTATCTAGATAAAAAGTTATGCTCATTTTAGTAAACTGCGTAGTTACAAATCCGAGTTTTCTGTCCAGCATTTTAGAGCAACATTTTCTTGCTTCAAACGTTATCGTCGAGACCCCAAATTTTTATATGTGGTACATATATGAATGATTTAGTCCCTGTAAAAATTTCATAAATTTTAATAGACATTTGCTAGGCCAAAGATATTTTTCTTTCGCTGTCGTTAAATCCGTAATTGTCGATTTGTCTTCAAATCTTTTACAAAATCAAATTTTGCTACATTTGCCTAAGTTATATAGATAACTACCTTCCATTATATTTTTATATATTTAAAAAAAATTGGATTTATAAAATACTTTGGCTAGCGTCAAAGGGGTCGAACCAAAGAAAGAAACGAATATTATTTTAACGCTTCAATTTCCGAGAATTCGGGGCGTTACAGCGCCTTTCTCTCTCTCCCTCCCTTTTTTTTTTTTTTGTTGTTCTTGTTTTGTGTTGACTGAGTGTTGAATGTTCTGTGATTTCTGCTGTATTGATTTTGTTCTGTGAATTGTGAATGGTCAGAATAAATAAATGAATTTTGTTCTGTGAATTGATTTTGTTTTGTGAATTTTGTTCTGCTGTATTGATTTTGTTTTGTTCTGTGAATTGTGAATGGCCAGAGACTCCGCTTGGATGGCTGCACCCACTGATGAAATCTCCTTTGAGAAAGCCACCAGAGATGGTCCAGATGGATTCCACAGGTACCCTTTTCAGTCTTTTTCATCAATTTTACATGAGAATTGGCATTAGATTCGATGGGTTTTCTAATTTTTTTTGTTAGGTTTGATTTTGAGATTCTTAATTGTTCCTTCACTATGAATCTATGCAGACTATGATTATAATGTTTGGATTATACAATTTCTTACTTGATCTTTTAGCTTTTGCCTGGTAAGTTGGAAGAAGAAAAAATAGGGTCCTCTATCTTTTACATGGACAACATGACAAGTACTTTGGTCCCCCAAGTTTCAATTTTTGTAGTTGACCAAGGGATTTTGTGTATATGGGATGAATCATAGCTGGCCTCTTACATGACATAATCTTTAAAGTAGGGGTGGAGCCAGGATTACAAGTTGTTTGAGGTGCTTCATCCATTTTTTGTTACCTTCAATTATGGATTCTACAGCAATAGATTTTGTCTCCAAAATTGCTTCATAATCTAGAAGAAGTCTAGAATAATCCAAATTGGTAAGAATTATTTGCATCCACCGGCACCGATTTGCTGGAATTGTGTAGAGAAATCTTCTACCGGCACCGACAATAGCTCACCATATATAGTCTCTCCATTTTGAGTATGAGTAGATGAAAGAGGTGAAAGACAAAATATATGTGTATGCCTAAAAGTGTGAGATATTTTGTAATTATCTTTTATGATTGAGATTGTTTAACCGATCGTTTGAAACATTTTTTGTTTTGTTATTTTATAATATAAATTTTTTTATAATATATTTTGTTTGTTGTTTTATTATTTAGTTTTAAATTCACGATTGGTTGCATAATACATTGTTGAATTTTGTATTTACGTTGACTTTGGAGGGCCTAATTTACAAAGTTCGCCTCAGGCCCCGAAAATCACAAGACCGGCTCTGTACTACCTTAAGTACTATTAAGAAAAATGTCAACAATGATATGTTATGAAGCTGTTTGATGCACATTATTTCCACATTATTAGAAGAATTTTTACCGTTGAAGGGCCGCACCTATTGACTTTTCGCTCACAATGCCTTGGATTTGTGTGCTCCAACGATAAGATTTTTCATTTTTTTGAACCAATAATGAGCCCCAAACAGGCTCTATATAAAGATGCAGCCTTAAGCAACTTTTGCTTTTCAGCACACATTTTTTTATTGCTTTCTTGAGACCTAGGTCGAGTAGTTTTGATGCCATGTCTAGTAGTGTAGAAAGTTTAATAAGTTGTCATGTCAACTTTGAAGGCGGTGGCCTCGCCAAAGGCAAAAAGTATCTCATAGTTGCCCTTTTGACTCGGACTTCCGTCTTCCAATTCATTATTTCTCTTTATCCGTACTATACACTAGAGCATGTCTCAAGATTATTAGAGAAACTGAAAGGTTTTTCGAATTGGACTTACAAATTTGATAGTTAAACTGAAATTTACGAGTGTTTTCGTAAGCCCATTTATTTCTCTTTTATGATCTAACTGTTCAGCATCATTCACTACGATAACTTAAGCTCGTGTTTGGCAAAAATCATAAGTCCTTGGGCTCATTCTTTAAAATTCATTTGCATTCCCATATTTTTCTAATAAAATATCATTTTTCATTAATCCAAAATTTTTATACTTTTTAACCTCACATTCTAAAATAACTAATTTTTACATAAATTATTCTAAAAATGGGGTTCAAACATGGGCTAAATTACTAATATTATAATGCGATAAAAATGAGTATTAGATAAGCGGATAATAGTTGTGGATCTTAAGAAATATATAGTTAAAATAAATATTTGACTTTGAAAAGTATGTTATTTATTATTTTTAGTGTTTCCGAAATACACGCAAAGCCACAGTTTGGCCTTGCTAAAAATTATATATTTTTTTGTAAATTTTGATAAAAGATGATAAAATATGTAGATAAAAAGTTAATAAAAGTCGTGTCATATAAAATGTGTGATTAAAATTAATCATTGATTTTGAAATAAATTTTTAGCTATAACAAAACGGGGGCTAAATTTTTTTTCTTTAGAAAATTTGATTCAACAATCTTTTTCATCCGATGATTATCTTTTTCATTACTATAGTGTATTTTGAAATTTCAGAAAATAATTTGTCAATCTATATTATATTAATTCTCATGTATGTCACACATGCACACTAATATTAGTATTTTAAAAATCAATTTGCTAGTACAACTGGAGGTTTAATTTTTTTTATCTTGTTTCCTTTGAAATATTTAGTTTAATCCTATGCCAGCAATATTAATTCAGGATGCTCTTAATTTTGCAGTAAATGTTGATGATCATCACCAGCTGCGACCCATGTTCTTCGACCAATACATTACCAGAAGGCTGAACACACAATATTGATTTTCATGATACTCACCAACATAAAAATTCACCTAATCTATTTTTTTTATTTTAATATTTAAGTTGTACAGCTCATCTAATCATGGATTGATTCTTGAATTATTTAATTAAGACAAGATGTATAAAATTCAAGAAGATTGTCAACTAGAAATAGTTTTTCTTTTTCTATTTTTTTTTTTCCAACTACAAGACAAAGTAGAAGATCATTCATTAACACGTTTGACTATTAGAGGTATTTCTCCTCTTCCTCGCCGGAAATTGATGCCGAAAACTGCCGTGTCCCACCACTTGCCACTGCTCCACAACCGTGCCATCAAACTCCATCTGTTGCACTTGCATCCCAGAAGCATCAAACAAGCAACTTTCAGGCAACAAACCCGGGCACGGTGGCTTTGTTTTCCGGCGACCTGCGCCGACGGGAACATTCCGGAGAGCCCCTCCGGCAGTCCAGTACCTCTGGCAGCCTTTACAAAAGTGTCTTGGCTGATTAACATTGTAGTTGTTGAAGTAACAAAATTTTGTTTCCATGCTTTTGCACCTAGGGCATGGGATGATCTTGTCTGGCCTTTTCTCTACCGTTTGATCTCCTTTCTTTGCAAGATCTTCATCCTTTCGTTGATGATCATTTTCCTGCACTGCAATCGTTGCACCAAATAACTTGATTCCTGATGAACTGTCTTGGACCTCAGCCATATGATGAAAGAGATCTAGAGAGAGAAATTGGAGTGAGAAAGAATGTTTATGTTTGACGAAGAAGCCTTAAGTGGCTGATATCTATATATATTAGCGTCTATATCTCTATGTATAAGGGATGAATATATGCCCTAAAAATAAAATTTAAAAAAAAAGTACATTATTGGGGGTGGGACAAGAATAAGACTCGATTTCATCCTAAAAGTATTAAGAGATAAAATTCCACATCGAATAAAAATGAAAATATAGATCAATTTATAAAGGTCTGGGTCACTCCTATTAAAAATGTTGACATTTTAAGATGAAACTTCAAGTATTAACATGGTATTTAGAATCCATTAATCTCCAACGAACGATTCGATCCGATTAAGACTCAATAAATGAGTATGTCTACTCAAACGAGTCACCATCTTGCGAAAACATTTTAAGGGATACAATCCCACATCGAATAAAAATGAAAACATAGAACAATTTATAAAGGTTTAAGCTACTCCTCTTAACAAGGTTGACATTTTAAAATGGATCTCCGATTCTTAACAAAAAGATCAACATTATAAGAGTAATTCAGATTTGTTTCATCTGTATTCAATATAGGATTCTACATTTCACATATTTATCAAATGATAGCTTGTTTGAGCACGTCTATTATGAGAATCAAATTCTTATTTGAACCCTAAACATATCGATTTATTCGTTTGAATTTAATGAACTCTAATATTATAATAATAAAGTCTTAAATAGTCCGTGAAGTATTCTCTAGATATAATATTATATGGATAAGATCATGGAAGTGTGACACAAAAGTAAATACCAAAATGCAAGACTTTAGGCGTAAATTTGAATGAAAAGAAAGAGTATATTATTATAGGAGCCGCCAAGAGCAAACCGGGGGGTTGGAGTGTAAAGTTAATGTTGGACTTTTTGTCCACATAATGATCCACGTCATCATGTTGTTGGTTAGAAAGAGTCTCAAGTGGGCCCAGCACCAGGTTGGTTAAGTTACAAAGTATTTGAAAGTGGAAGCATAAAGGTAATAGCCAAAAGGTCTTTTGATTTGATTAATGGAAATCCCTTTTTCTTTATCTTATATTAATTATTAAAGATTATAAGATCATGTTGACAGACACATCATGGGCATGTGGTTTTAATTCTTAACAATGAAGGTAGGGGAAAATTCAGATTCTACTCAAATTTATGTATTTGCTATTACAATTTGAACATTTCTTATTTAAAAATTAATCTTCCAAAGTTGAGATAATGAACACATTAAGATAAAGAAAATCGTCGTGCAGAGGCAACTATCTTGTAAATACAGAGGATACGTAGGGATGAATGTTATTATGCGAAAACAAAATTTTTTACTTTATTCAACACGACAAGATAATCTTTGTTGGACGTTCAAATTATTTATTTTATTTTCCAATGTACCCGAAATAAGAAGTTGATTTACGGGGATCTGAAAATAGAATTGCCATTTAAAGTATATTTGGGAAATATTTACGAATGGTTTCCTACTCATACTCTAATATGTTGCATGGCATGTATGATCTCGATTTCTCATAATTATTCGAGAAAAATGGATTACAAGAATTAGCTTTGCTATGGGTACAAAATGATATCCATTTTGGACATCAAAATAGACACCATTTTGTACCACCAACATTATTCTTACAGGAATAGTAGAATATTGTTTAGAAGGAAAAAATTCCAAAAGTAAGAATTGATCCTTAATTAAAGCTTGATGCTTTGCTTTGGTGTTGCCTTTCAGTTGGAAGTAGAATCCGATTAGAGTTTAATTATGGGATTACTTTAATAAAGTCGTCTTTATGTCGATTATGATTATTTAATGAAAAGCTGCCTCAGTTTGTACAGTCTCGACAAACAAGCATTTTGGTTCTTTAGTTGGAAAGATACGAACTTTTTCTTTAGGGTCACTTTTAATTTTTTAGTTAAAAGATTATAAAAAGAGAGCATCCAATAATTATAAAATTGAATAATATAATATAATGGATTTAAGTAATTCTACAAAACCGAGATTGAAATGAAAAAGGATATTTATATTTCGGCAAAAATATACACTTTAGCATTTTAAAGCATTTTCACTTTTAGAATAGTAATATATTATTTTAAAATGAAAGTGACATCTGACACGCCATAATTTGAAATAGGAAAAAGCCAAATGACCCACAAGGATGACCATACCGATAACCACTCACTCACATGAATGCGTGGGTCTCGCGTGAATAAAATAATGTCTGACCCTCCATATGTGTGTATGTGGTCATCACCGATATCAAATTCGATGTTCGTGAAGCATGGTTGATTGAAATAATCCACAACCATCCATTGAAATTTCATTTTTCCATTCCTGCCCTCAATGACACACAACCAATTTT